TTGCCAGTAACCTAGCAAGTTAACCTAACTAAATGGGTTAGCCTACAAACATGTTGAGAGTGACTTCTGAGGGCATGTGAATGAATACGGGGGGTGTTTGTTTGTATGCATCAATCCTAAAATCATGCTGAGAGAAACAGTGTTATAGAGTGTGTTCTCTTGTGTCCTTCCAATGGGTGTACTCATGTCTGATTTTGATTTGAGCAGGTGAATGACTCGATAGCCCATTAGCAAGCATTTGACCTACTATGTTCCCCATTTCCCTTTCTAGCTTTGACACTCCGTGTAATTTATGTAGCAATTACACTTCAGTTGTAACTCAATTCCCGGTTTTGTTCCTTTTACAGAAATTAGTACTGAAAGGCATCCTAATGATGGAGGGCTTGGAGTAACCACCGAGCTATTTGTCTATTTAATATACATTTTTCAAAGATAGCATTTTAATGACTGGGAGAACACAATAGGGCTAACTGTACTTCAGAAGCTCAGCACTGGTTTTCAGACTCTTCAAATTTCAGGCTGCACTGTCAACGCTGAGTGATACCAAGAACTATGAAATGGAGAGCTACCCTGTTCCCCCCTCCCTATTCCCCTTGCAAAATAAAAAGCAGGGGAGAAAAACAATGCTACTCTGACTTATTTATCTTTATCCAGTTCCTCTGTCAGTAAGGGGATGAAGCGAAAAATTCAGAACAAAGTAACTTAAAAAATCAAAGGATTAAAACCCCATGTATGTGATCCTGATGAATTGGATGATTCAGAAGATGTTAACCAGAGCAACAGCTGTAATGGAAGGAGAGCCTGTAACAAACAGGTTTTCTGATTTATTGGGGTAATCAAGCATAGAAGTGGGCAGGCACTGGGTGGTACAGAATACCAACATTTTTTTTGTGCTGCCTGGGAGATATATTTGAACCTCTAGGGAAGAATTGCCCCCTCCCCCTTAATTCCCCTGAAGATTTTTTTTTCTTTTCCTGAAAATGAAAGCAGGGAACGAGCATTTCCCTGAATCTCATTTTAAATCTTCCCAAGTTTAAAATGGTTACTGCTTGTTTATTACTGTTGGTAATGTAACTACCCTCACAGGAGACTAATCCTGCTTGTTGAGGACTCCGTTCCCTAACGTAAGGGAGGTAATAAGTGAAGGGAAACTGGCAAATATAAATCTAGAGATGCTGGGCTGCTTAGAGAAATGCAACAAATGCCCTATGTTGTTTTCAGTGTGGTTTAGTTTGGTAGCAACCAAAGGTCTTTGGATTGAAGACTTTTAAGAAAAGAACCCACCCTAAAATAACTCTTAAACCCATCTCTAATGCTATTTTCCTTGCCTGCTACTGCAATGTCCCAACCTCTCTTTCATGTGTAAAATCAATGGGAACGCGATGCAGACAAAGTTTAACATTACTTGACTGTGCTCATGTTCTTAGAGATAACAATCTGTGTTCAGTGTGGTGGGACTGAGGCTTTCATCGAGTTTTGTCCCTTATAATACACATTACATTTTAACATGCTTTGCAAGTTTGCACGCAGGGAGCATGCCCTGCAGTACAGGCTTTATAGTGATACTCCCGGAAATCCCTCAAGCAGTGTATTTGCTGAAAAATACCAAGTCTTGGTATTTAGCAGTCTGGGAGTTTTCTCATGCAGAGATGTTTTCTTCTTGAGATCAAATCCCTGAAGAGAAGTCCTATCTAGCCTTGACTGGGCATTTTGAGCTTATAGATGTCTGGTTGCATCATCTATCTGTTCCTCTTTATTACTTCTGGGTATTTTCCAAGGCCCCCCCAGCAGCATGAAGCGCTCATCTCGGTTTCCATTGAGGTGATCCGAGTCTCACTCACACAGCACATAGCACCTTGCAAAGCTGCCTCTGTGCAACAACAGCCGTAAGTAATTGACGTATGTAAATTCCAGCCACTTGTGACTGGAAGGAAGAAAGCATTCGATTACATCTCCCCAAACTTTTGTTTTCATCAGTATCACTATTTTTTTCGTAGTCTTACGATCTTTCTCAGTAGAGCTTTTGTCTGTTGTATGTTTGTTAAGAAAATAATTCTTGTTTGCCTGTTGCAAGAAGAAAGAAGTTCACTGCACACATGGGATAATATTTGTTTGATTTCCCGATGTGGTTCCTGAAGCCAGAGTGTGAAAATGTTGATAAAGCCTCTTGAGATGATTATCACAGGGAAGTAGTCTTTTCTATTGTGTGTGCATACAATTGCCCAGATTTACTTAAATTTTAAAATTATCATTATTATTTTATAGGCCCCTCGGAACAGAGTTTTAGTGGTGGTATTCTTTGTTGTTATTGTTGTTTTTAACAAGGTGCATGGTGTTGTGGTCAATAACTTCTCTGCAAGTGTTTCAACAAAGCTGTTACCAAGTTGTGAGTTTGCTGAGTGAGTTGAATACTGTTTCTCTTCCCTAACTGGATGCAAGTTCAAAACCATTGCCTATTCTTAGCTTTTGCCATTTGCTATTTCTGCTGCTGGGTTTGCTGCGGTTACTAGTATGAGATTAATTTTTCTGTTAGTGAAGCAGTGCTTGAGAGTCCAGTCACAGGCTGAGAAGCCATTCTGTTAGGCTGAATTCAGTATCTACTTAAATGAGAAACCTCTCAAAAATAATATTGGAATAATATCACAGAGCATCCAAACAAGCAAAAGAAATAAAAAACAAATGAAGAAAACAGGCTGCCTTCTGTGCCTTCAGGTGGAGTAAATCTGGGCTTCAGTAAATATTTTCCCTGAGCTTGTGATTTCATAGCTGAGCGACTCCCAACAGAACCACCTGTTTGCCAGCTTTTTACCAGCCCCAAGCTACTCCTTTCTCTCCTGAGCCTCCCTAAAATTTTCCTGCTTCAAGCACCCCCAAGTCAAAGCCCCTGAAACTACTGTGGTTGTCTGCCTGGCTACAGCTGGTGTAACCCCTCTCCCCTCCCATGCTGATGTTAGCACCAGCTCTTTCCATCTCGTTGGCCATTCTGGTCAACTGAGTCCACCTATTTGTTCACCTTTCACCACAGAAAGCAATTCCCCATCTTCTGGGACATTGCTCTGGTAGCAATTTAGCAATTAGCTCTGGTAGCAATTTAAGAAAACCTGGACGCCAGCTGGGACTTCCAAGGAAGAAAAATAAGATGTGTCTGAGAGAAAACAGGTGCACCACAGCTCTGGGTTTGGTGAGCTCTAACAATACATCTGATGAAGCAGCAAAAATATTTTGGGTAACCTTAAGAAAAGCTGTCTCCTGCACTACATTATCATTAGTAATGGCACATTCCTGGTTTCAGTAAGTATATCAAGGATGTTTATTTTAAGGAGAAAGGGCACAGTTTATTTTGCACAGAACATGTTTGGGAATGTTTGTCATGATGTGTCAGTGACAATCCGAAAGACCTGGTGTTGCCCTCTTTGCCTATCACTGACTCCCTTGGCTCCCATCAGTTTGCATTCTTGGTATTGAACATGTCTCCCCCAGTGAAATGTTGATAATATTTTTAACAAAAAGAGCCTTCATATAATTGATATCTGCAAGAAACTGAGCTCCAAAAGCATGTTTTAACCTGTGTATTTTGTAAACACAACATGAAAAATTCACAGAGAATTTCTGTTACATCCTGAGGCAACTGTGAGTCTTTTCCAAAGTAAAGACTAGGGAGCTGTATGGTGTATGAGGAAGAGAAAGTGAACAAAGAGAAGCCAGATGGGAATGTACAAGCAGAACTTGCAATTAGTAGATCTTGTGCACCCAGCAAAAACTATTTATTCTGCTGTGGCTGCAAGACTGACTACCTTGTGGAGGCACAGTATATACTGCTAGAAGGTTTTATGCTGGTTTAGGGACTTTGCCTTCCTAAACAGCAGAAGGTACACTGACATGGGCTCTTGCTAGCACAGATATATCCGTCCCTGGAGTCCCACCAATGTAACAGTGTCAGCTACAGGATGTGCATTTTCCATGCCCTGAGCTGACCTTGGGTGTGCAAAACTTTGGCAAAGCTTTACAGTGTAGACAGGGCCTAAGGCAGGTATAATTTGCCAAATGTAGTGTTTAATGAGACAGCCAAATGAGTGTAATACACAGCAAGTTCAGTAAAGCCCCTAAGGGCTGGGGTCCTAGGAATGTGCTGTGATGTAGCAAAATAAGCTAGTGATCCTTTTCATCCACCTCCCTGGTTAGACTGAGCCTGGCTTCTCAGGGGATGCAGTAGGGAGAGGCTCACAGCACAGGGAAACCGACAGACCTCCTTTTCTCCCTAGTCATTTAATGGTGCCTCTCTGCAATGATCAGGCATGGTCCTTCTGTTCCGGTGGGGCCGCAAGAGGAAAGGGCCACAAAACACTGCTGTACCTGACATGGACAGTAGAGTGGTGTAGACCCAATGCAGAGGCAGGCAGAGGGCGTGTGGTATCATGGAAGAGAGCTGTCTGGGCCAGGGGAGGTTGTGTTGGCAGAGAGATGGGACACTAGTGCAGAGGGACTATGTCCAGACGAGTCCTACAGACAGGTGGCTCAGCTGTGAATTTACTCTCTTGTTACAAGCGCCTGGTGTAGGATATTTTATGTCGGATCCCAAAATTTGGACACTGTAATGTGGGGCCACTACGGAACAATCCAGTATGTAATTTTTTTTGTTATAAATATGGTTATTCCAAAAAGTGTATTTACTGGTTTGAACAGGTTTAATCTCAAGTACTTGAGGTACAGTAGTTGCATATTATTGTATTCCCCTAAAATGTTGTGATACCATCATTACAAATTCTGTACCTCTCTGTAAGTTAACTTGTACCTCTGCAAAAATGAGTGCGTCATGTCAGACAAACACACAATTCAAACATGCCTATTACCCTGTAACTCTTAACATTTCTACAGTTGGAAATATGAAGAAAAGACTAATAAGTGGATTTCTAAACAGCTGTGAAGGACAAGAGAGGTTTTTGTGGGAGGGACTTTTTTTTTTTTTAAAGGCAAATCCTTTTATGTCTTCTGCTAGAAAAGCTGCTCACCGGTCTTGTGGTTTGTGGATGAGGACCAGAACCCATTGATCTGTACACTGGAGGGAAGGCACTGATCACTGGGTAAGGCTTTCCTGTGTTTAGCACCTGCTGGCAGATGCAGCACCTTTTAAATGTCTCGGAAAATGACACTTGATTGAATTTTTTTTCATTTCGAGGTAAAGTTCTTTTTTCCTTTCACACAGCTTTTGTTCTTTTAGATTGATTTAATCATAGATTAGAACCATTAGAAACATATGGTTTGAGAGACCTCCTGGACGTGCATCAGACCAGCAGGTTTGTCTGTCTTTTGCTGGCAAAAGTTTAAACTGCAAGGAGAACCTAATGGGAATGCTAAGAGTTGCAGTTCTAAAAACTGAGCTCTCCGAGCAAAATCTCTTTGAACGTAAGAGAAATTAGTTCTGTTTCATCAAGGAGATAAGACAATAAACATGACCATTCCTTGGCTCTGAAATGCTTTTTATTCAACGAAGTAATCTCTGTTTAGAAAGACATTTAGAGCTCACCTGCTTGACAGTAGCTTTCTCTCTGACACTCATCTTTAGGTTGTAAGAAATAATAGACTAATGCTGTTTGTTTTGTAGAATTTAGAAATGTGTTGAGAGATGACACTGTGAAACAAATAGAAGTTTAAGTAAGAAGGTATCCCTGAAGGATGGTAGCGTAGCCCTGCAAGAGGCTAAGGTATACACTAAGGCAGGGGGGGAGGAAGATTGAAGTCTGGAGTGCTGCATGTTGGCTCCCCCTTCTCCCATTTCTGCTCTGTGAGCACAACCTAAAACAGATCTCCTGCTGATATGGAGGTCACACAGTTTATTTCTGTCGCACTCACATGGTCTGGCCAATAACAGGGGAGCATGAATCAGAAGCTTATTTTAAAACCAAAAATATATGGTGTCACTTTGCATAATGATAGCATCCAAGGACCAGTTAGGATCAGGGCTTCATCTATTACATGCTGAATCTATTACAAGTTGAACACGTTGTGCTGTTGATCCTCTGAGAAATTGCAACCCAAGATGCAACAAGCTGTAGGAGGAGAAGGGAGGGTAAAGGAGCTGAAGTGTTGGGTGGTCTGCATAATGCTAGAAAGGAGACAAAAGGCTATATGCTAAAAACTGTCACTTATAACTACTTAGGCAAGTAACTGAAAGATAAGACTTGGAACAGAGGAAAAGACCTTCTTTGTTTAACTAAACACTAAAGACATCTGAAAGATCTTGAGTTGATGTGGGGCTGGGGTGGGAGGAGGCAGGACAGGCAGGTGAGCAGATTAATGGCATTGTTGCAGCTTGCCCATATAGTGTTTGGGCTCTTTATTTCCTCAACTATATTTATTTGGTGGGATATTGTTGATACAAGCTTGGTCTGGAAAAATAAAATCAACTTATTTGAAAAGGTCGGCTTCATGAGAATTGTATTATTGTGTGCCCCCACTGTTTTTCAGGGCTGGTGACCTATATGTGAAAGCGTGACTGACAGCAGTTGCGATTGCAAAACAAACTGGAGAAGAAATGAAGAAATGCCTCATGCTGAGGATGTAAGATGGGGAGGAGAGAGAGTGAAACTAGTTTGTCACATAGTGCAAAAATGTCTCTCTCTCTTCGTCACATCTTCCACTTATTAAAGGCAATATTGTTCTCTCCAGGCACTCAAATGAAAACTCAGAAATGAAAAGTCAGAAAGGCAATTAAGTGATCTGTGCATGGATGCTACTGCTGTCTCCAGAAGAAAAAATGAGTGCTTAATCAGAAGCATAAATTCATAAGACTGGCTAATGATACTCTCCTTCAACCTGAGCACTTCTACTGGAACAGAAGGATATTCAAAATCTTCCTGTCTCCTGGAAAGTCCATAGAGCTGGAGGCAGTATCACGGAATCCTTGGTTAGGTATGTAGTATTCAGCAACTTCACAGATCAGCTTCCAGGAAACCTTTACAGCTTTTGTAATAAAAATAGCATTCTTATATGACTTTGTTTATGGTGGGGCCCCACAGTGAATTGTTTGGGTTTTGTCTGTAATATTTCTAGCCAGTTGGTCTTGCAAAGAACAAGTGTAAGTTGGAGCCTTACAGCATTTAAGCTCTACGAGAAGGAAATAATATTTTAAGAGAAATCATATTTTGGGCCCAGCAAGTTTGACATTGACTAGTGCTGCCAGAGTTTTTAATATTATTGAATTCAACAATCTTTTCCATCAATTTCCAGAATCATCTGGAACATTCCCTCTTAAGTGAAATAAATGCTTGTAAGCTGCCAGGTGATTAACAATGTTTGCTGAGATGTGAGGGTGTCTCAGGAGACTCTGCTTTGTTTTGCTACTGTAATTTCCAGTAAAGATTTGGTCAAGACTTGAAACTGTCTCAAATGATGTATTTTGCAGCTTTAAGTTAAAATTCAGACCTGCCAAAAGGTTCTTGATTGTTAGTTTTTCTGGCTGAAACCACCTAATTTTTCCACTGTGCTTTGTACATCTAGTTATGGATGACCATTTTATCTCTCTGGCTTCAGAAAAGACAAACACTGTATCACTTCCTAAGTGTGAGGGGAAAAAAACCCTACTAAAATATTAGTAAGAATTTTCAAAGGATTACAAATTAATCAGATACTGTGCAAATAAACACTGAAAGTGTAAGCCCTAGTGAAAAGATTTGCAGCCTAAAAGAGACAAGCCATTGCTTACGTTTAAAGGAAAGGGTAGAGGTGGAGAAATTAATGGTTTTGAGGAGGAATCTAAATTGAGAGGGCATTTGGCAGACAAAATGAAAGACTATTCAAGCATAAAGAGCAGCAAAGACTCAGTCACAAAATAAGGCGAGGAAGAAGTAAACTTAAAGAGGGAGAAATGGGAGAAGACCATAAGAAATAAAAGTAGCAATGAGACTAACGATACCTGGACCCTGCAAGGGATATCAGAAAGACTGATAGCTAACAGTGTGAATTCGTTAGCAAATTCTTGCAGCTGCAGGATATCATTGCGAAGTGACTAAGCGTTCTTTTCAAGTTGAGCCTCATGTAGCGCCAGTGCAGCACCTGCTAATTTTGTTAGTGCGAGGGGATGCTTAAATGGCGTTGGGTCTTCAGCATTTTAAACTGTGCAACCCTCACCATTCTGGTTCGTATGGTTCTGCAGAAATTGTAGTGGTCCCATGGGCACAATCAACAACTGTGCCTGCAATGTTTTAGCTGTCAGCGTATTGGGTCCACTGAGTACCTGAGATATTTTGCAGTGGAACTATTTTGATTTCAGTGTTGCTTATACCATACTCTCAAAATCACTTGGAAAAGCTTCTGAGTATAGGCACATTCTGCTTTTGCGGAATAAATAAATGTGCATGGGAAGCAGTGGAAAACTGCAGTCGTAAACATGACGGGAGGGTGAACTGCAACCATGTGTGTTTCACTGACCCAGAACCGTGATCACCAACCAACACATAAATATGTATGTGTGTCTGCACATGCGTGTACATGTGCATGCATATATACATTTATATAGTTATAGTGAAACCCTAATGGAAACAGCATAAATGTCATAATTAATACTATACAGTCTTCTTTCAGGTAAGAAACTATAATTTATGTCTTCATTGTGTATGTATACTTATATATAATACATTATATAGAATGGATTTTTTTCATGGTGGTGAGCCATTCTTTTTAAGTCCTTAAATATTCTAGGCTGTAAAGTGTAATTAATAATAAGTGGAAGTTTTGTTTTCATGGTAGGAAGCTTTTATTATTCTTTTTTTTCTGTTCCAAGATGTGTTTCATTTGTTTTGTATGTTACAAAAAACACACAAATGGTCTTGGAAAGTGTGAGTAGAGATGGCTCTGTTGGTTTCTGTAAGAAAAAGAATATGAACAAACAAAAACCTCTGCACTGATAGCTGAATGGAAAACTTATTAGAAGAATCATTTTAGCTATGGTTTTTGAAAATGTGAAAAACTAGGCCAATATTTGGATATTCAAAATCAAGTTAGTAAATTTAGTTAAATCGTTTAGTCACTTTTACCTTTTCACAGCTGAAATACAGTTAAACAGATTTAAACATTATTTATAGAAAAGAAATACATTTGGAATGAAAAAACATGAGATGCATTTTAACATTGCTGCTTTCTAGGCTATGTAAACGCAGGTTTATGACGAAATGATGACTGATACTAGTAATTTCAAGAACCATTTCTTCTGTGTATTATTCTTCAGGTGGAGACAGTATTATTTTTCATTCTTTTTCTAGTTATAGCATGGTTTTGTGTTTTAACTGGGCAGAGTATGAATTACCTTGCCCTAATGGAAACGTATGTATGTGATGCAGCATTGGCACAGTAAACGCCCATGTGCATATAAATTGTGCACCAAATAAGAGTAATTCTTCAGAGTAGTATTAAGATATGACCTCATTCTGACACTGCACAGAGATTATTTGTGTCATAGTATTAGCAACTTGTGAAGAAAGGTGAAAAGGCAGCAAGAAGGTTGACAGGTCTCGCTCTTTCCCCACTAGAGTTTGGAGACTCCCCATACGAAGCAGATCACATATGCAGGAAACTTTCTGGGATGAAAGGCCTTAGACAGAATGAAAATTTTTATTATTTCTGTATTAGACTTAGGTATTCAAGAGATTAGTTACTATGAGGAGACATTAAGAAAGTGACATTGAAAAGACAACTAAATTTGCTTGAAAAATAGCGACAACATGAATTAGGAAAGTGCAACTTCCTAAAATTTTGTTGAAGTGCTGCAATGCCAGATAACCTCCCAGAACAGTCATGGACAGCAGACAAAGTGACGTGAAAGTCAGATAAACTGAGGAAGTACCTCAAATAGGTCCTCCATGAGAAGAGCCAATTTAGTTTTCCAAGTCAGCAAGCTACATAAAGCTCTCAGCAGCCTTCATTACATAACCTGTGCCAGTGGTACTGTAGTCTCTTGGGTGTGAACCAGTGTGGAGAGGCGCAATGTAGTAATCTTGCACTGGCAGGAGGAGGAAGAGATGCACCGATTGACCTAGTAGGTATTTCCCCTACTCATCAAAAAGGAATAGGCACGGACAAGCCACGGCGAGCACTCTGCCACTAAATAGCCTTCTGTCTAGTTATAGTGTCTCACCCTCTATTTTTGAGTGTCTCATGGAAGTGCTGAGGAAAAGCAATATAAAAGAAAAAGAATGTAAATATTATGGTTCAGGGATATCAGCCCCAGTCCAAGTGAAAAAACCTGCCTTTCAGTGAAAGCTTTGAGGGGCTTCTAGTTCAAAGGATTTCAGAGATGTGGAGAGGCAGCTATATACATTACTTTCTTCTCTATCGGTCACCCCTTATTGATGGCAGATAAGTTAAAATAAGGAAGAGCATCCCTCCTAAGCAGTTCTGAGAGGACAGAAACACTGGCATGGGAAAGAGCAGCTACAAGGTGGTAAATACTTTTTCAAATGACAGGATAGTTTTTCTGCTGAGGCTGGAAGTGTCAATGCCGAAACAGCTTTTGCTCATGCCTCAGACCTTCTGATGCAATCGGCTATTTCAGTGCATGATAAAATACTCGGGAAAAACCCCCACAGTTTTAAGGCTTTATTTTAGGAGGGCTTTTTGCTCTTCATAAATGTAGTGATCTTATTGTGGTTTTATCTTTCAGGATTAAAGGACTACTGGCAGATATCTTAGGACTAAAATGTGGCTTAGACTTTGCTTTTTGTTTTGCTTTTTACACAGCAAAGTGAGTGGGAATATATGTGAGTTGGAAAATATATCCACAAGACCACTGGAAACTGCATATTTTTATTTAAACTCGATCCTGCTGTGCTTAGTGTCAGAGCTAAAAAGTGAACCTGGTATGAACAGAAAGTGAAGCAGAAAACTACAATTTGGCTTCCCCAGATCAGCAAATGGCAAAATCAAGTGAGGTCCTGAATGTAAAAAGTGAATGCTTAAAATGTTTTGGGCTTAATCACATTTTTTATTGTTAAGGACTTAATTTTAAAACTACGCTGTTTGTTACAATAGCATCTTATCTCTATACAGACTAGAAAGCAGCCTGCGTATGTTCTAGTCAATTAATTCTTTGCTAAAGCAGCATAAGCCTAAGTTCAAAGATTTTGTTACTTTTCTGATTTATTTCTCTCATCTGGCTTTGCATAAGCTCTCTGTGTTGGCAATATTAAAATGCTTTCTAATTTGTGATTAGTGCATAGTAGCAAGGGGAAGGAAGGGTTGGCACGAATAGTTTTAGCAAGCAGGTATGTGTTTCTTTCTTATTTCTCAGCCAGGGCTTTGTCAGAGTGGAAGAGCTCCAATTGGTTAATACTCAGACAGGCTGTTGAAGTTCCAGTCTGGTTTTCTAATTTAGAAGTGCTACTGGATGACATAAATGGTAAGAATAATTGTAAATTCTATGTGAAAAAAATAAAATGGAAGGGAATCCTTGAGACTGTAAGAAAAGGTCTAAAGTAGTCCTTTAAAAGCTAGAACAGCTTCAGAAATTATTACAGTCCCAGTTTGAGTGTTTTGCTTATATTTTGAGTGAATATTTTTCTCACTGATGCACTCTTTAAACTCACCTTATGATGTTTATTTGCCATCTAGTTCAAATCAAGGAAATGAAAAAGACTGAAGGGTAATCAGTGAGCAACCCTTGAAAAAATACAGTACTGACAGACTGGACAAAGCCAGCAAGAAAAGATTAATTCTTTATTTGCAGTTTCAGAATTTTTGTTATTGTTGAGAGGTTTTGAGATTGAAGTTTGTAAGAAAAGTTGAGTCTGTACTGCTGAGTGCTTTAGATACTGTCATTCCTTCCTTTAGCGATTCCTTCTTTCAGTATCTGCCACTTTCTCTTTCTCCTCCTCCCTAAAAACAATACACAAAAAATAGTATTTAAAAATTATAAATTTGACGGGCTGACCAGGTCCTATCCTGTGATCATGTTGTGTCATCTGCTGGGTGTCTTCATCTGCCTGTGCTCTTATTCATTATGCTGCAGAGTACCCCCAGGCACAGTTGGCAACAGAAGCCTTAGATTGAGAAGGATTGTCCAGCTCCTCAAACAGAACAACATTGCCCTTTTGTTCCCCACGATGCATGAAATGAATACTTGCCTGGGTTAGTGGCATGGGCCGCTGTGTTCCTTCACTTTAGCTCCCTTCCATCCTGATCGACTGTTAAAAGGATAGATATTTGATCTGCAGCAAAAGAATGATTAGCCTTTTCAGAGCCTTTCTCATCTCTGGGAAGCTGTCGTGGGGAAAAAAGTTGAGGATAAGGGCAGATAATGGCAATACAGGTTTGCGGAAAATATTGGTCCTATCGTGTTCTTTTCTTTTCTTTTCTTGCCTTTTTTTTTTTCCTTTTTATTTTTTCCCCTGTGCAGTTTGAATGGAAAGGAACATAGGAGACCTAATAGGAAATCTGTAGCCAGAGTGCCCTATTACTTCACCACAGACTCTTAGGAGATGGTTCTCTTCCCTCATCCCTAAAAGTAAAGGTGATCTTAGTTTATCTGGCTTCTCAGCTAACCTGTTACAGAAGGCCACCTCAATATTTGAAAAGTACCGAGTTTATTTGAAAAACATTAAGTCTTGCAATGGATTACATTGGAAGAGAGGCTAACTGGGCTGGAGATTGGGGAGTGCTTTGAGCAGTCTTAACTGATGGAAGGAGAAGATAGGCAGGGAAGGAAAAAACTCCCCTGCCTACTAAAATGCCACGTACCTAGGACTGGTCCTGTGTAAACTCTCAGAGCTCCCAAGTACTGGCTTTTATACTGTACTTCAAGTGAGACCAAAGGATGGAAAACTGGTCGTCTGAGTTATTTTGAGGTTTTTATTATGTTCAGGGATTAATTTGGATGACAACAATGGTGTTTTTAGTGCAACAAGTAGAATTAAGTAAGCAGTCTGGCAGAAGATCTGAGAAGCAGAAGGTGAAAATAAATAAAATGGAGCAGTGAAGAATGCAGAAAGAAACAGAAAGTGTTCAAAGGCATGCAAACGCGATGAAGGCTGAAGCCAAATTCATATGCAAACATCTAAGGTACAAATGCTCTTCCCTCCTTTTTTCCTTCCCCTGACAGTGTGCGTATACAGCCCCTGCCCTCTCTTGCGTTTACTCTCATGACAGAATTTAAGTGATGGAACAGAGGAAAAAGGAGGCAGATGTGACTATGTGGCAAGTTGCTTTGCCACTCAGTTGTGGATGGGAACCACATCTTCTTATGTAGTTTGTGGGAGGGGGATTTATTCTTTCAGCATTTTGAGAAAGACTTATGATTCCACCTGGATTTATGCACAATAGTTTTCCTGTCTGTACTCTTTATCTTTCTTTGAGAGCTCTCTGACTAAGTTATTTTCCTCCTGGGATGTATAAAGTATACTCTCACCTACACTGGGATAAGAGACTCTTGAATACAAAGGCCTCTGCTGAAGGTCTTTTGCAAGTATTGTCCATTCCCATCAAATTTCACCTGGAGCTCATCTGTAGGGCCTTACTCAGGTTGGGTCATGTGGTAGGGCATTATAAACTCCAAATGGTATAGCTTTGTGCTATGATACTCGTTATAGGAAGTTCACACCAAGGCTCTAAACTAGCAAGCCATTTAAGCTTTTTAATTGTAACAATTTTTAAGTCATCTCACTGAAGTCAGTGGTACAGCGCCTGAGCTCAAAGCTGAAATCATGCTGAAGTGCTTTGCTGGCTTAAAGCCCAAGCTGGCTTTCAGTGTATTATAGGCAGCCTTTCCTGGGATGATGGTGAATTAGAATTGTGCTAAAGTATTTCTAGCAAGATGAAAAATCACCTCACATCTAAAGGTTTTATTGCTTTTTCCGCTTTCTATGAACTCAAAAACGAGGCCATTTCTATGAAAAATGGCACCTGAGAATATGAAATTTCCAGAAGAAGTGGGGATGCCTTTTCTAACGGAAGTTGAATGCATGGTGAATAATCCTTTTTGAAAAAAACAATGCTATCTCTGGAAATGGTGGTCCTGTGTGAAGCTTTGGACCTGCAAAATTAACTAAATGCTGTGAACTATGTCTGGTTCTAAATTAAATTTACCTTAGTGCCCCAATCCTGTACTGAGGTCTGCCCAGAGCCGGTGTGATAGGGCTTCAGAGATGCCTGTGGGTCTGCACGTCTGTGTCCATTTGCTGCTGGGGGCCTAAGTACAATGAGGTGATACGTATGTATTGTTCTCAGTGCCTGCTAACGGTTGTCTTCACAATTTGTCAGTACAGAACTGCTTAGTGAGTCCGTCCAAAATCCTGCTCCTGAAGAAGAGATTGGTTGGTGTTTACGGAACAGAAAGTAAGTCATGGCCAAGGGTTAAACAGTATCTGATAGTTTCTGCTCTTCTTTGTGTATTTCACCAGACACATTTGTCCTGCTATAGGCAGGGTACTCCTGAAGAGCCATATTCTTCTGCACTTTGTAGTTGCATAGTGAGTAATCTGAAACCATGTAATTTATTTAAAGCCAGTTCACTACTTAGCTTGCAGAATCTCTATAAGAAATACTTCAGGTCCCTTGGCCTTATTTTTTTTCAGATTTGTTTTGAACAGCATGTCTGGAACATGTGTTTCATGTGTTAGATTTCCTCTGTGGATTCATCTTTGACATTCAACGTGTGAACTTTTCTTATAATTAGTTCTGATCCATAGAGCTAGTTCAAGTACCACTGTAGATAGTTTAACTCGGTTTTCTTGTTGGCAGTCACAAAACACTGACAGGATGCAGTCCTGTAGCTGAGCGGGAAGGAGTGGAGTTCTGCCCCAACTGATTTCGTACTGATGTCAGAGGATACTCACGCACACTTTTGTATGCACATAGCGGGTCCACAAAGCCAGTGCTCAAGTATTTAGCAAATGCATTCAACATACAGATTTCCACAGATCCTTGGGTTTGTGCATTAGTTAGATAAATCTACCTCTCAGCTGGATGAGGTTTTATTCCATGATTTCATGAGAACTTGCTTTACAAACATCTGTAAATTTAAAGTGGGCTTACTTTCAATACCTTTGTCAGTTGGATTTGATTGTTTCAAGTGGCACCTGAAGAGGAAAACAAAAGGAGCATTGCAGTGGTTAGAGCAGACTCATTGAAAATTGAAATATTCCGTTTTTTCCCTTTATGTGCTTGGGGTTTTGGGTAGCTTTTACGGGGGTTGTGTTAATTAGTCATGGAAAAAAAATCCAAAGCAGCAAGAGCAAAAAACCCAGACTGCTCCGGAAATGGTATGAAGGTTTTTCTCTACCTTTGATTGTATATCTTGCCTGCATTTTCTTGCCAACAATTGCGGAAGTCTTGCCTGTTTCAGGAAGGGGAATGAGGGCACTCGTGAAGTGTTGACTATTTTATTTATGCTTATCTTAGTAGCATTACATAACGCACTGGACTGTCCACGCTAATATCTGATGACTTTTGTGGCTTTGAGTCCAAGGGCAGAAACAGCAGCAAGGGCAGAGAACACGGGCTGCATTTTGGAAACGCCTTTTGTCAGGCAACCTGTTACACATGGGTTTGGAGGCTCTTCCCGGGGCTGCCCTGGCTCTGGGCACACCCTCTGTGTACATTCTGCGCATTCCACAAGTGACTTTGCTTATATAACCCTCACTGCGCTACCTTCCTCTCCCCACATAGGTGAACTGCCGGCTGCCCTCACTTAAACAGCACCGCCGTCCTCACCCACCATCCAGGCTTACTATACACAAGTCAGTCTTCATTTCTGATTCCGTTTCTCTTGTTGCTAATAGCTAAACACTCAAGAGTCTCAGTCTTGGGGCATTTCTTTTCAGGGCAGAGCTAAGGCCGTTGTCTAGCAGCTGCAGAAGCCAAAGTGGCTTTGTATGTTACTGTACCTTCCTGGATTGAAACCTTAAAAACTGTTCACCCAGAAGAACTGCATAGCATTCCCATTCAGTAATACGGCTGATGGAAGGTTGCAGACTGGAGCCCAGCATTTGTGTCTGCTGCTGCTGTTTTCATTGAAATGCCTTGTGCTGGGCAAACCTGTGCACCATCCTGAGCCACCTCTTCTCTTTCCACATGGAAGGAATGCTAACACCCAACTTGTAAAAAACCAAACCCCACCCCACCCCCCCCAACAAACCAAAACCCAACCAAACAAACCCCCAAACACCAAACCTCTGAGATCCTTGCACAAAGATGTGCTTTAGGTACAAAGTGTACCTACACACATTTAAAATAGCATCGTTAGAATAGATTCATCCAGGACATGAGTTCAGGTTTCAGCTTTTCTTGCCAGGTGCTGGTGATTTCATAAAAGTGAACATTTTTCTATTTGAACTGCTCTATCAATGCTGTCAATAATCTGTCAGGAATAATTGCTAATAAATTATTGTAATGATAATGTCAACGCCAATAACATTAATAAATACAGAATCTGCTACTCAATGGCAGGTTGAACAGGTAAAGGGAGTAATACTCTCAAAAGACTGTGTTCTAAAATAAGCTTATTGTGTTTTACTGGTTTAGGATTTTTAATTTTAAAATTTGGTTTTCAAAGATGTTAAGTGCCACCTTTAACCATTATCAGATTTATCTGTAGAAATTTCTGCTGGAACACATAGGACTGTTTTCATTTTCAAAGCTGCAGAGCATTTCTGGCTCCCGCTGCAGTCGGTTGGAATTGTGGGCATGCAGGAACTTTAGGAATGAATTGTTAGGTTAGTTGTTGTTATTAATTTATTTGGGAAACACAAACAGTATGACTCATTAACTCATGTCTTGAAAAATGCTGTACTCTTTCTTCACAATAAGCATACTACTGGAAAGCACTATCTTCCAACATTGACTTTAAGTAGAATTTGAGCAACAGAATTATGAATGGGGACTTACTTCACTAATCTGCAAAGCCCTGGAAAGCTGATAATATTCAACAGAGACAAAAACACGGGAGTTCAAAATCATATGTTTTATATCTTTAATGAAACCACCAGAATATGTCTGAATGACATAGGACATACATAAATATGATGTCACCAGCTTGAAAGCATGTCTTCCTGAGGTTTTTTGCATTGGTTCCTGATCTGGGGTTTTAATTTGATGTCATCTATTTGATCATTATATCCTGTTTCTTTTAAAATTCTTGGCTAATTTACTTTCTTTTGCTGTAATTTCCATTTCCAAATTCTTTGATAAGTGTCAGCCAGTGCCTTTTCAGACATTTCCTCTGTATATAACCCAGAGAGCTGCTTAATCATAAGTCATATGTGCAGCAATATGGTTTTATTATTATTCATGTCTTTCTAAAAGCCAAAGCCAAATCTTAATTTGAGAGCACAATAGCCGAGTCTTTGAAAAAAAGAGAAAGAATAGTAAGTAAGTCACTGCGGACCCAACAATTTCCTTAGCAACCTTTCATAATAAAGGGCTCTGTAAAGTACTTTTCACTCTCAGATTCTGTCACCTGTGTGTCCTTGGATCTGTCCTTTTGCTCTTGTGACAGTCTTTGCTCAGGCAAGCTCTGTACCAGAATTGAAGGGATGTGTTACAGAAAGCTAGACTGCAGAGGAAATCTTCTTCCCGACTCTTCTTTGCTGTGTTTCTTTTTTGAAAGGGCAGACTTCCTTTGGGAGAGACCTGTATGTGACTGAGTCCCCACAGTTTACAGTGTCATCTTTGGAGGTGGCAACGTTCCCAGTACCTATCAGCACTGAGTGCCATAAGCACCAAATTTCACATCTATCTCCTTCGTGAGGAATATAAATAGAAATCAAAACCAGTTGTGCAAATGCGTTCTGTAAGTAAGCTGAAAAGAAATGCCTCCTGCCTGTATGTACTGTAACTCCTCTGTCTAGATACTTCTATTGATACATTCTATTTGTTGGTTGTAAATCTAAATCGCTGTGTCCGAAGACATTTGCAACTAGATCATCCAGTATAAAACTATTGAGAGGGAGAGAGAGATCATCTGGCACAGGAAATATTTTATTGGAATGAAGAAAAAAATGGAGACATGAACTAAAAAGGCATTACGTTTTGCACTGTTAAATATTCTAAAAATAAACTGGGAACATAAAAGTATCTGATACATACTTTTTCTTTTTTTCTTTTCCTCTCTTCTTCTCCTTCTCAGACATGTGTACTCATAAAATTTAATGGAGTGGAATTGCCTGAAAGAACGGGACCATTTTTAATACACCTTTCTGTGGCTCCTTGGTACATATGTGAACAATTTTAATAAAAAATGTTGATTCGTAGTGATTCTTAGACGTCTTGTGGTTGATCATCTGTACTGGACAGATGGATTCGGTCACTGTAAGCCAAATAAATAAATTAGCGCTATCTTTGAAATGTATAGCTACACTTGGCATCTGCAGTTACCGTACTCCCTCCCCTCAGTTCAGATGCCTTCACCTACACTGCTGAACTGGCCTAACTTTATATTCTGTTTGGCCTTGAGTTAGAACAGAGGACCACCTGCATGAAAGAGATGTGAAATGTTATGCGTGCCTTTGTAATGGGATAAAGTACCAGAGTACCAAGTCTGCAAATATTTTACTGAGCAGGTCATGTATTAAGTAAAGCACTGAAAGGTAAAATGATAAATGATGAGGTCATCGTTTTAGAACTGGTGTCCAGGTGGTAAAAAGCCAGAGGGCTGACATTTAGAAAAAAGTGACTTCCTTTAAGCTTCACTGACTTGGTGTGTTGCCTTCGTTGTACAGGATGAAGCCGTGCTGTCTCGGCTAGCTTTTTGGCCTGTTTGTGTATAAATCTGCCTGTAAAGCAAGAACCTCGTAAAGGAAGGATATAGATGTGCTTTTGACTGTCATGATTCATCTTTTCAAGTGGCTCATGGGCTGCAAAAATACATTCTGTATAATGCTCGAATTTTACCTAGTCTAATGTAAATATTTGTGAAATGCTTTAATTAATTCTGCCTGACAAGGCGAGTCATGGAGGCTGTATTTAGACATTTCCCCTCTCCTCCTTCCCCCCATTTTTAACCCACAAGCTGCATATCAGCTAGTACCTGCGATCTCCAAACCAACCCGACAGTTCCAAACTCATTGGAAAGAAATTCAGGTGAAAACTTTCTGTCCTGCCCGGTCTTTTGGGGTTAGCTTTCTGCCAGATTACTTGATTGCAGAAGAATCTAATAACTGCAGGTAATGGGGTAAAAGGTACTGGATCAGATCAGGGCATTTCATGCAACTTCTGTGTCGCTTTCATTATCAAGTGTTGTTAGTGTAACTCAGAAGGAAATTCTGTTTGATTTGAAATTACCTCTCTCATTTGTGACTGTTCCTTTAGTTCAGTGTGTGATCTAGGTGCCTGGGTGGGAACATACGCATTTAGACTGATGTGGGTAGCACAAAGGTATGGGGTGGAGGGCCTATCAGTCATTTTTCAAAGCACTCATGCTTTGTCAACTATGCAGCAAGCTGCTTTATTCTCTTTCTTCTGCCTGGGGCAGTGGAACATCAGTCAAGTATTTCCAGAGTGAAAGTCAGTTGTTTTCTGGTGGTCTAGAGGGCTGAATGTGCTTGCTAAAGGGTCAGTTCAAAGCCAGAACTGATGCAAAGGGAGAAGTGAGATGGCATGGGCAGGAGGAGGGCAAGCTGGGGGAGAAAGCTAATCTTTCTGTGGCGGCAAGCTATGAGCAGGTAGAAAAGATAGTCCTGCAAACTGGCATAATTTAAAGAGAGTTTCAAGAAGAGAATTCAGGTTTGAATAATATGCATATGTAATTACTCCCCTTAGGCTCCAATCTTAAAGAATAAATTGCACAGATCTTCAAGAACGGTAGCTTCCTTATTTTCAGGGACTTTGTTTCTGAGGGGCAGAATCCATCTCCTTATATTACTTGTCAATGCCCTCACGGGACTCCCACTTCAGTAATGTCATTGCCTGCTTTCATAAGCAGAAAGCTCATCGCGGATTAAGAGACATGAGTAGTGGCCTATTGCCATTTTACTGGCAGTGTATACTACTTGGAAGCTACTAGCTTGTTGCATAAAAGGTCTTCTGATGGAAATAAATTCTTTGGCGCCCCTGGCTAGGGCACAGCACTGGCAAAGAGGTAAGATGGTTGTGTCCAGCTTGGCTGTGCGCTTGCTCGGTGCCAAGTCCTGAACATTGTCCTGAATTGAGAGAGGAGAAAGTAAGAAAATGCATACTTTGCCTAGATGTAGGGAGAAATTAGTCTTCGGGCAGGAGAATCACACAATTACCCCATGTGATTTTTTTTTTCTCTTTCTGTGTTTGCATGCATATAATAACACTTGGAAAGCACACAAGCACTCATGGCTCAGCTCCGAGTGAGGCAGCGTTGAAGCACAAAGTAGGCAAATTTGAAATTGTTTGGAGACTTTTCAGAGCTTCTCATTATCTCATTTGTACATTTAATGATTATTGTGAGTGCACGCATCAAGAGTTTTTGAGGTTTGGATGCCGCTGGCAGTGGTTGGAGGGACAGAGAGGCCTACCTGCAACGCGGGCACGCAGCCGCCAGGTGGCTTGGTACCCCAGAGAAGGAGTCCTGGTAAACAGTGGGGACAAAGCTGGTGTGCGAGCAGTGTGGAGGCCCAGCGGCATGTCTGCTACCAGTCACTTAACGCAAAGCAAAAACCACTGTTGATTAAAGACACACGGACAAGGCAGAGTGCTCCCTGCTTGGGAGACAGTCCTTACGGTAGTAAGACTTTTTTAGAGAGGCAAGCCATCTGTCAGAACAGCATCTTTAGCTCTCTGTTGAGCAAGGTGGGGGAAGGATGATCTGAATGTATTGGTGGTAGACAGTACGTGTTGATAGCCTGGGGCATTCTGTGTGGCCAGAACAGGCAGTCATATGTGGAATAGATGATATGCTCATTTAACATGGTGAGGCAGGAGTTTGAAAAGAGCTCAGGTACATTAGGAGTAGAAATATCCCTGAAAACCAGGGGGCTTTTATGATTTTAAGTCATGTATGAGCTTTTGAAAATTATGTTGTCTCTGAACTCCTCAGCGGAAGCTCTCAGCTAATAAAACTGCTCAAAGCAGAAAATTACTTTTCACACAGCAGTGGTCAAAGTGGTGGGGTCCTGGGTGCCTCATGTAGGTACTTAGCAGTGTGGGCTTCACTCTGGAGTCTGTAGTGCTTAGACAAGCTGAATGACTGACAGGGTTAGCTCTGTTGCAACCATTTGCCTGAAAGATCATGAAGTCAGTATAGGATTCTCATGCATGTGTCATAAGCCCAGTCCTAGCTAAAGAGAGAGAGAGGCTGGATAATAAGGTTTAGAGGTTTTTATCTGTAATTTGCTTTTATCACAATAAAATATGCAAGTATGAAACTGAGGGCTGCTTATAACTCCTGTCCAAGGCGCTGCTTCCTTCTGATTAATATGGCTAAAACAGTGAAGCAACAGGATGCAGTAAGGTGAAGAAATAAAACCACAATAATTGAGTAAAATTTTTGATGAATTAAAAAAATAAATGAAAACCTTATGTAAAAAATATACAGAGAAATCAATCCTTTCTTTCTGTCTTTCTTTTTCTGTCTTTCTGTCTTTCTTGGAATCCACCCTGAACCAGATGTTGGGAGTCTGTAGTTTAGTGTTTTTGGATCACTGCCCAGACTTTTACCTATCTTTTCAGCTATTTACACGGGTTTTATTTCTCCAGCTGCTCTTTCACTGATACTGTACAGTCACAGACCTGCTAAGTTGGGAGTCACTAATAGAGGGGGTTACTGTATTTTCATTGAGATGAACAGTGATACAAAACATCAAATGGAAATCATTTTGTCTTTTCTCAAAGAGTAAGAGAATCAGGCTTAATGAAGGGTGTGAAGAAATCTGCTGTGGACAACGATAACACAGAAGGAGGGAAGGGAGTGGCATAGGAATTTTCTTTCCAACACCATCACAGAGAAGGAGCAGACAGCTGCTGCTGCTGTGTATGGGAAAAGGTGCAGGGGAATGTCTTTTGTTTAAAACAGACTAAACTTCCATTGTGTTGTTTGGCTTTAAGTGTATTTTAGCTTTGATGGTTTCTACCCTTACTACCTTTTAATTTCCATTAAAAATTATTTTCTTCTTTTTATGTTTATTAATTATTATGATTTTTTTAGTTGGATTTTTGATCCATAAGGATTCAGTATGGAGGAAATAGAAGATTGTTGGCATAATTGTATGTAGTCTCTATGCTCTGGGCATAGAGAAATTCTATCATTTGTCTCTTGTGTTATAGCATGTATTGGCAGCAAAATCATGAGTCTACACGTCAGTCCTCTGAAAGACCACTAAATCTAGTTCATAGGGTTGCTCATACAGTTGCACTAAAACTTTTATTTTGTGTTGGCGTAACATTTTGCACATTTCTAAATTATAGCCTTCCAACTTGTAGTGGTCTCAGCTGTAAGGTTGAGATTGGAGAGAGGAGAAAGTTTCTCAACAGAAGATTGGTAAGGGCTCTCCTGAGTGAAGGGGTATAATTTTTAAAGGTGTCATGTGGCAGCCTGCCTAAGAGACTGATGCTTCAAGTTTGGTCCTGACTCTGGATTTAAGCCAATACCCTAGAGGTTAAATATTCCATAGCCTGTTACCAATCCCTTGAGCGACCCAGTGTCTCCAGGTGCTAGTCTTTTACACAGACTTCTTAGCAAAAGCAATTTCATTGGCAGTAAGAATCAGCTAGTTCGGTTCAACTGGAATTTTTTAATGAAGTCTCTCATACCAGTCAGGCTGAGGATCATCTAATGGAAGGGAAAGGCAAATGAAGAAAGGCAAGGGAAAATGGGGATGTTCTGGAAGGCTGTTTTACAGTGCTGTGTCTAGGAAGAGGTGGCAGAAGGATGTGCCTTAGAATGGGTGTCTGAGCTAGCTAAGAGCAACCATTTTGTCCATGAACTTGCTATGTGACATGCAGCACTTGTTATTTCATAAACAGCATTAGCTGTAAGCCTAACTATTTGAAAAAAATCTCCCCAAAACATAATTTTTCAGGATGGATATAAAATGGATGCCTGAGCTATTGTCACCCAGCACAGCTGACAGTGGTGGCCCTATTCTTTAAGTGGATTGTATCACACAATCACCATGCTTGTCCCCAACGGGGAGGTACACTACAAATATGCAAAATTTGATAAAAATCTGGATACTCATGAATGTTAATGCCGTACTAGTAGCTTCCTTTAGGACAGTATTTCTGAAGGCAAGCTAAAATGAGACAGATTTAAAAAAAAAAAAAAAGGTGTTACTAACTTTAGTGTCTAGAGCTAGAAGGAGGTGACCAATAGGTCAAGAACATGTATTTTGTAACCCAGACTCTCTCATTTGTGTTCCTAAGTCAGTTACATGTTTTATCTTTAGAGTTAAATTTTGGTCCCAGAGTTCCTTTTCTTCCACACTATTCCCTGCTAAAGATAATGTCTAATACCACAGCATGAACATTTATATT